CGGTGACACAGTGACGGTGACACACTCACGGTGACACAGTGACAGTGTCGGTGACACAGTGACAGTGACACACGGTGACACGGTGACGGTGACACACTGATGGTGACACGGTGACAGTGACACGGTGACGGTGACACACTCACGGTGACACGGTGATGGTGACACGGTGACGGTGACACAGTGACGGTGACACGGTGACGGTGACCCCGTGTCCCCCCCGCTGTCCCCAGGTGTTGCTGGCCCTGCCCGGGGTCGCTGTCCCCGTGTCCCTCCCCCCGCGGCTGCTGAGGGGACACCTCCGACTGCTGAGGGGGGTGAGACTGGGAATGGAACTGGGATAAACTGGGATAAACTGGGAGGGGACTGGGATAAACTGGGAGGGACTGGGAATGGAACTGGGATAAACTGGGAGGGACTGGGAATGGAACTGGGATGGACTGGGAGGGACTGGGAGGGGACTGGGAGGGACTGGGATAAACTGGGAGGGACTGGGAATGGAACTGGGATAAACTGGGAGGGGACTGGGATAAACTGGGAGGGACTGGGATAAACTGGGAGGGACTGGGAATGGAACTGGGATAAACTGGGAGGGGACTGGGATAAACTGGGAGGGACTGGGAATGGAACTGGGATGGACTGGGAGGGACTGGGATGGACTGGGAATGGAACTGGGAGGGACTGGGATAAACTGGGATAAACTGGGAGCGACTGGGATGGGACTGGGAGGGGATTGGGAATGGAACTGGGATGAACTGGGATGGACTGGGAGGGACTGGGATAAACTGGGAATGGAACTGGGATAAACTGGGAGGGACTGGGATAAACTGGGAGGAACTGGGATGGGACTGGGATGGACTGGGATGGGACTGGGATAAACTGGGAATGGAACTGGGATAAACTGGGAATGGACTGGAATGGACTGGGATGAACTGGGATGGGACTGGGATAAACTGGGATGAACTGGGATGGGACTGGGATAAACTGGGATGAACTGGGATGGGACTGGGATAAACTGGGATGGACTGGGGGGGGGGCTGGGATGGGCAACCACTGGTCCATACTGGTTTGTACTGGCCCATACTGGTCTATACTGGTTTATACTGGCTTATACTGATTTATACTGGTCTATACTGGTCTGTACTGGTTAATACTGGTTTATACTAGTTTATATTGGTTTATGCTGGTTTATACTGGTTTTTACTGGTTTATACTGGTCCGTACTGGTCCATACTGGTTTATACTGGTTTTACTGGTCCATACTGATTTATACTGGTTTGTACTGGTTTTTACTGGTCCATACTGGTTTTTACTGGTCCATACTGGTTTATACTGGTTTATACTGGTTTTTACTGGTCCATACTGGTTTATACTGGTTTATACTGGTTTTTACTGGTCCATACTGGTTTATACTGGTTTATACTGGTTTTTACTGGTCCATACTGGTTTATACTGGTTTATACTGGTTTATACTGGTTTTTACTGGTTTATACTGGTTTTTACTGGTCCATACTGGTTTATACTGGTTTATACTGGTTTTTACTGGTCCGTACTGGTTTATACTGGTCCATACTGGTTTCTGGCAGCCGCAGGACCTGGTGCTGCAATGGGAACCCCTGGAGGGGCCCTGGGAACCCCCCGGTGACGCGGTGAGAGCCCCAAAATCCCCAAAATCCCCCCAAAATTCCCCAAAATCCCAAAAATTCCCCAAAATCCCAAAAATTCCCCCAAAATTCCCAAATTTTACCGAATTCTCCCCAAATTTCCCAAAATTCCCCAAAAAATTCCCCCAAAATTCCCCAAAAAATTCCCCCAAAATTCCCCAAAATTCCCCAAATCCTCCCCCCAAAATTCCCAAATTTCACACAAAATTCCCTAAATTACCCAAAATTTCCCAAATTTCCCCC